ACATCTGAGAGAGACAGGGCACTACAGCAAACACAGTCCACACACTGCCAGTGGGACAAAGCAAGCCCATTATTTATTTAATGAATTCATTGATTTAATACCTCATAAGGTAAATTTTCTCCACCTGTTTGACAATCAGCTGGAGAAATAAAATCACAGTGGAATCAAAGATAATAAAACTAGTAAGTGTGTCAACACAGCATAAAATATAATATCTCACTGACAGAGACACACTAAAATTTATTTTTAAAAAATATTTGGACAGAGCAATCTGAAGGTGGAAAAAAATATCTAAACTTGAAGCTGGGGAATTGCATTCAGAGGACCCTCTGTCCTTTGCTGGTGCAGAAATAACCACACCAGCTGCTTCAGAGAATTTCAAAGGGACCCCAGAAAGGGGCAACGGGGATGCTCCAGGGGGTGCCAAGGGGAAGAGGCCCAATCCACCTGGAGATGAAGTATTCTAGCAGTGCTCCAGCCTCTTTTCCTCCCTGTACAAGGTGCTGCAGTTGCATGAATGAAAACAGCCATTTAGGGCAACCTTTGCACTCCCCCTGCTTTCCATGAGATGCCCACAATCCTCCAGGTTCACAGGCGTGTGCACACCCCATCAGATTGCACCTGAAAAGGCTTTGAAAAAGAAAGCGCAGTAAAGTCTTAGCCTCTTGGCAGAAAGACAGCAGTGTGGGCACCTGGTGAGCTTTTCTTTGAAGAGCCTTCCAAGGCTTTGGGGGCCACTACCAAAAAAGCCATTTTCTGACACATACCCCTTATGTCCTGTTTTATTATTTATTTGTTTGTTTGCATTTGTATCTCACTGTGCCACTTAAAAAGTGCTTAACACTTCACAATAACAAGCATAAAAAGATGTCTGATGAAAAGAAGCAGCTGCACCCTACAAATAGAGTAAGTTCATATTTCACTGCAAATCAGCTTAGATGCCAAAAGCCTGCCTTAAAGAAATAGCTTTGCCTGCTAGTGGAGGCAAAACAGAGAGAGCAGAGCGTTCAGATGGGGTGGCAGATGGCAGAGGACATCCTTCCTGCTAATAAAAGTGTCACCCCTGTGTGCCCTGGATCTGCTACACCATGGCACACACCTAACAAGGAGGAAACGCCATTGCATTCAATGCTTCTGAGCTGACTCGGTAGGATTCTGCAGCTAACTCACCTCTCCCTCCTTCCAGCAAAACGGCTGATATAAAATGTTAATATTTGCCTTTGCGATTGTTTGAGAGTAAAGCAAAGGTTGTTGAATGATTCCATTTTAAGAACTCAGCAGAGCTTACTGAATATTGAAGACTGTATCAAAAAGAACAAGAGGAAATACATTTAAGACACTATGTAAAAGTAAACATAGGACTACAGCATATTGGGAGAAAATATATTTTAAAACTTCACACAGCATTGCATAGAAAACACGTGTAGCAATTGGGCTTGACTAAAACCGAACTAAAAAATAAGACTCAACATGTCCTAAAACACTGGCCAGATTCACACAATCAGGCAAGGAAACAAAACCATACTTTCCCCCACACTGGCCTGACAGTTGAGTGTCACCTATCCCCATAGTTAGCTGTCACCTGAACCTGGCAAGGTGGGTTGTGGGGAAGACTTTCAAAGCACCCCACAACCCAGGGCTTCTTTGAGGGTCCCAGGGTGGTCTGGAAGCCTCCTCTGCCACGAACACCCCTCTTCAGAGCTGCACAACAGAATAATCTGTGTCCAGTGTGGGTAATTCTGGAAACCATGGCTTCCAAACCACCCAGAGACCCACAGCTTGTTGAGTCCCGGGGGGGGAGGGGGGTGTGGAAGCCACTCCCACCTCATCAGGTTTGGATAACCAGCAACCTGCATACAGTGCAAATAATGGTGGAAATGAGGGAATACACCACCAGCACACATAGGCTGGGGAAAAGAAACCACGCTGGCTTATGGTGCAAACCCAATGAAAAATATATACAATTTAGAGGTGGTATGTATATATCAAGGTGGATTTTATTTCATCAAAGCTGAGAGACTCTACCATCTAACTGAGATAGAGCTGCAAAGAGTTATGTATTGATCACAGAAGTCCTAATTTTTCTTTCACATTCCAGAACTTCATTTTCTTTCACAAGGGTGATATCAGAGTTTTAAAAAATGCATGTGTTTCTTTACACATGTGTTGGGGATAAGGACCACAAACCTCACTCTTGGATAGGGCCCAACATCAATATTAAGAAATGTCTTTAAATATGTATTTATGTTTACTCTTAGAACAGCAGGGATTTTAATTGCTCAAATGCTGTCCATCACTCCACCTTATGGGCCACTAATCTGACCGTTAACATCCTGCTGTTTGCACTTCACATTTTGGGCCAGCCCTGTGCATTGAGCCCCACAGTCCAAGTCTTCCTGCTCACACCCAATCCCAGCTAGCACAACTGAAGGACAGCACAGTGGCACCATCTTTCCAGCCCATACTTATCCATTTATCTCACCTTTAATTTTTCCTAAAAAAGCCAGAGGAAGAGGACAAGGCAGTAGGTAAAAGCTACCCAACTTACTGATAAAGACAATGGAAAAATTTCCATTTAAACAAGCAGCACAAACCCAAACAATAACAGTAGCATCATAAATGATGTGAGGCAATAAATAAACAAGCTATAAACAGTATCCGTCCATCTCAAAAAGCCTTCCCTAAAAGCAGGGTTTGTGTTAATGGACAGACCACTAGGGCTGGAGTCCAAAATCTTTCATTTAGCATCCCGGCCACTATCTTGCTGCCTATGGGCATCGGCTATGGTAGCATTGCTGTGTCTGATCCCCCTGGACTAGCTAGCCTTTTGTCCAAAATAAATGCCATTAAAATACAAAAGTGTAATAAAATAATACCAGAAACTGAGGAAAAACAGCAATGCCCAAAAAGAAGTGGGGGCATAATTTGGCTACACGTAAAAGTTGGAAGGGCTTGGGGAGTTCATTACACTGCCTTTCCCCCCATAATTCTTCCAGTGCAAGCCATGCTTAACTCAGCTAAGACTTATCTATGTTAAGTTTAGTTCAGCTATAATTCATCTAGCAAGGTTCATCCCCAGTTTACCAGGAAGTCTGCCCCTCCCCCCCCCCACAAGGGGCCTCCGGCCTCTGACCCCAATCCAGACCAACAAAGACAGAGTGAACACAAGAGTACGCATGGTGTTCTTGTCCCTAAAAGGAGAGTGTGTGAAATTTTGGTATAATTGAGGAAGATCCATAAGGTCATTGCCCAAGTCAAGCAAGGCTGAGTCCAGCTGGATCTCGGTTTTCAATTGGTGAGGGATGAAGAGTCAGACCCATGAGGAAGATCTAAACATCTGAACCTCTGCAGCTTTATTGAATCAGTGCCCCGGTTCCTGCAGTAACTGATGATAGAACTCTCAACTGCAAAATCACAACTCATGTACAGACACTTATTACCTGCTAGTCAAGTACACAGAGTGTTAAGTTTCTAGATAATGTTAGTACAATAGCATCTTGAGGGTTTTAGGCATGACATGTTCTAAACTGATTAGAAATACTGGAAACAATAGTATGGAAAACATTGATTGCATCATTGACATGTCAGTTCAGATTCCTTGCAACCTGGTTCAGTCTTTGTGCCTGTTTAAACATGCATATGTGTTTACATTCTTAAAGTAACAGCAATGCTAAACAGCAACCTGGCTTGGAATTCTGCTGCTTTCTGAGGAAAAGGCTCAGGTTTGATTTGATCACAAAAAGGCACATAGAAGCAACCTTTTTCTACCAGGATTTATTCTGGATTTCCCTAAGATGATCAGAGTAGAATCTTTCCCTCCCGCACCCCACCTGCGGTGGTTAAAACGAGCCAGAACTGGGAGGTAAAGAAAAGGGTTTGCAGTACAAATCCTACCTAGTCTGGAGAGCCTCAGTAGGCTTGACCAGTGTGGAAGCCCTGTGAGAGAGTGCGGACATGGGAAAAGCACAGTCTAGCACAAGCCCATTTCCTTGTCAGAAGCAGGAACACTGGCATTGTATTTGTTCTAACAATGGTTCAAAATCTTGCAGGTATTTAAGCCACTGCCACCACCCATCTCCCTATGCAATGCATCTCTAGAAAAGCAGCTTTTCTTTGATTGGGACAAACTATTGCATTCACGATTACAGAAGGAAAGACGTGGTTTGTCTTTGCTGGAAGAAAAGCAAAAAAGGAGCCAAGAATGTTCAAGCTGGAAACCTCAGGCACTCCCATGAAAAAGCTCAAAAAGGCAAAGATAACTGTGATCATGCTAAGTGTTAGGCCTCAGAGATGGGGGAAGTATCGTCAGATATGGACTTGCTTGCCTTGTATCAAATATTACTATTTTTCAAAGTGACTGTTCATTTTTATAGGAAAGCTTGTGTTCTGCCTGGGAGCGGTGACAACCTTCTAGATTTGACTAGACTCTAGAGCAGCCTTCCCCAACCTGGTGGCCTTCAGAGGCATTTGGACTATAGTTCCCAGAATCCCCATCCAGCAGGCCCATTGACTTGGAATTGCAGGTATTGCAGACCAAATGCTTCCGAAGACCACCAGGTTGGGGAAGGCTGCTATAGAGGGTCTCTTCCTATAGCACTGCAGATTCCTAATTAAAGGTCAGAAGGGCTGTATACTGCAAAGTGGGTGAAGGCACAGAAACACAGCGAGTCCGAAGGGACCTCCTGGGCCATCTAGTCTGACCCCCGGCTCCAGCCAGCTCCGCTCATGCCATGCCCACATGTCCTTTAGAGTGGCTATGTTCTCCTCAAGGCTTCACACTCACACACAGCCTTGGGGCATGTGGCAATTAGCACACCCGATTTCTTTTTCCTTTTGGTCCCAATCACCGAAAGTTTGGCGGTCGCCCCGGCCTTCTAAGCACGCTCCCTAATCGGATGGCGCCGAGGAAGGCGGCAGCGCTCGCCTGCGGCCGCTAGAGGGCGACGTGCCGAGGGAGGACGGGCCGCGGCCGAGCAAAGGAAAGAGCTCGGAAAGGGCGTCTCGGTCAGTCGGGCTGTCGCGACGAGGGCTCATGGCGGGCCTGGGAGCGCGCGCCGTCCTGGTGACCGGAGCGAACCGCGGGATCGGCCTGGAACTGGTTCGGCAGCTCGCGGGCGGGCCCGACGCGCCGCGGTGGATCTTCGCCTGCTGCCGCGAGCCGGACGGGGTGCACGGGCAGGTGCGCGGATCAGCTGCAGCGTGCAAAGGAGGGTAAATGAGCGTGCCCCGCGCACCTTTGCCCGGTGCATCTTTCTGGGAGGGAGGGAGCAGAGAAGAATTCATGCAAGCTTAGACTATCAATGGCTTCCAGCCTTTTGGACCATGGGCCAGAGGGAGCGTGCTTGCATGCACCAGCGGCTCGGGGGCTGGAGAGCACGGAACTCTCCGCGCGTCCTGCTGGAGGGATCCTGTGGGCAGCTGGCCCGCCCCCGTGGAGAAGGAGGGCTGGACTGGAGGGGCTACCGGTGTGGCCCGGGAGGGCTGCTCTTAGGTCTGTAAAGGGTGCGGCCAGGCTCCCAGGTGAGTCTGCCGGCGATTGTAGCTTTACTTGGGGTAGAGGGAGAGCCCCGTTTGTTTCAGTAGATTTATTTACCGTTGCAGGTTAGAAGTGTAACTGGAGAGGGTAAAAGTTTAAATCCAACTCCTGCTGTACGCCTACCTGTTCCTCAAAAAAGCCTTGTTTGAGTTTTCTAATTTTCCTAACAAATATTTACGCAACCTTTAGGCAATAATAACGTGTTGAACTGATGGATCTGTCACTTGGGGGCTGATTTCAGTTCCCCTTTGGAGTCTCCATATTGCTATTTCAGCCAATTGGATGGTTGCTTGAAGGGATGAACATAGTCAACCCAGCAATTATACAGTTCTGTTTTAAGCCATTCAGGTGCAATTGTCTCTTCTCCAGGGCCCTAGTAAAACTTAAACACTTCTAAGCCCCATTGATTCAATTGGGAAAGTTAACTAGTTGCTTATTTTTCTCCCACTGAAATAAAGGGCACTTTAAATGCTTAAGTGTAGTTAGATGATGATGATGATGATGATTATTATTATAACATTTCTATGCCGCCCCTTGCCGAAGCCTCGGGGTGGCTTACAACACAATAAGATACATTGAAATACAATAGAACATAATAAATTACCACTAAATACAAAAATACAAAAAATACACTGAGATACAATAATATAAAATTAAAATTAACAGTATAAAATAAGTAATAAAGAATATAGGAGGAGAAAAGAGAAGGAAGAAGAAGTTGCCCTGGCCAGATCATATATTTTAACAATTAAAATGATGTTTAAATAAAAAGGTCTTTACCTGGCGCCGAAAAACTAGTAACGACGGTGCCAGGCGGACCTCTTTGAGGAGTGAATTCCATAGGTTGGGCGCCACCGCAGAGAACGCCCTCCTCCGAGTACTTACTCTCCTAATTTCTTTCATGGAGGGTTCCCAGAGAAGGGACTCTCCCGCAGATCTCAAGGGGCGGTCGGGCATATACGGACGTAAGCGCTCGTTCAGGTAGCCAGGACCCAAGCCGTTTAGGGCTTTATAGGTCATAACCAACACCTTGAATTGGGCCCGGGCTTCATGTTCAGTATTTTTTTAAAGTTACCTGATGGATAGTTGTATGAAACCTGAAAGTTTGCTTTTTTTTGGCACCATCTTAGTGATATAATTATGCTTACTGTTTGTTCTTTTGCACTTCGTTTTTGCTTCTGTCTTTTCAGAAATTGAGGAAATTAGTTTCCAGCCACCCAAACCTTGTGATAGTGAAGCTAGGTATGCTCTCTCTTGCCATTCTGTGGTTCATTCTGCCAACTAACAGACTAACACTTCTACCCCTTTCCTTTGCTTTTCAGTAAACTCTTCCACAACAGTCCATCTACTCTCTTCAAAACGATTGAGATAGCAGCTTTAGGAGGTGTTCCCGTTCTCCTGCCTCAGCTAGTATTTAGAGCAATGCATTTGCTATTATGCAAGGGGATTTTAGTTGATGTTGGTATGAAGTACATTCAGTCATGCTTCCCCTTCCTCCCAATACGCACACAGCCTCTAGTGGTATAATCTGATAACCTTTTCGCCACTGAATTAGTTGTTTATTACCTACACCAGAGAATCTATTTTGCAATGGCAATTTGACCACAAAGTTAAATTGTATGTTGAGTTTGCTGTCTCTCTTGTGTTGCGCTGTAGTGTAATCTCCGTGGGGCAGAGGCTTGGACTTGTTTAATTTCTAGGCAAGCATCAGGTACATAAGACATGTACTGTAAAAATAACTCTGCTCTTTACTTGGATGGTAGAAGTAGCAAAGCAAGGGCCTCTGGTATATAGCAATAAGGTATTAATTGGTGCTTAAATAGGATGGGATGCTGTCCTCTTTCAGGCGGACCTGGATCCATTTCTTCTCAGGTGGATCTAGAGTTCACTCTGTTCCTTCTGTTCTTGACAACCAGGTACTTTTTATTAACCTGGATTTAAATGCCTAGTAAAGTGGTGGCAGCAGCCCGGCTGGGTGGCAGTGTAAAAACTGGTTAAACTACACCAGGCTTGTTAGTAGCCTCTTGCCTGGTTTCCTGTGGTGACAGTCATTGGTAGAACTGGGTTCTAGTACCCCACCTGGGCATGCAACATGCTGGGTCAGCCACTAACTCTTGACCCAACCTACCTCACAGGGCTGTTAGGTGGATAAAATGGAAAGCTGCTTTCAAGAGGAAACAAGCAGGATAGAAATATAATACTATACAAATATGTGATTTCATCTGCAAATATAATCCACTTAGAGGGCCTTTGGGCTGAATAGCAGACAGTAAGTCTAAAAATAAAGAAATAAGTACTAAAAGCTCCAGGTGGATTGTCTTTTGTAAAGTGGAACATAATTTATTGTGGGGAAGTGGCTACAGTGTTGGACTGGGGTGGAGAGACCCATGTTTAAATCCCTGCTCATGCCTGCACCAGCTGGGTGATCTTGGAGGAGCCACCTCCTCAATTCACTTAACAGGGTTATTGAGAGAATAAGAAAGGAGGGAGGCTTGAGTTCCTTGAAATAAGGGCAGGATTACAAAATATAGGTAGACAGGTCAATTATTTACTTTTGAGGACTAATAACTTGTAGACTTATTTGCAAGGCTGACATTCTCCTGTTGCTATAGAAACTCACCCCAGGACTGGTTCAGTGACTTCCGGTCCTCATTCTCTGTTATTTATCACTTAATAAATAACAGGATTTCTAGCCTGCCCCATTAGCCACCCTAGCGCTCTTATGGTGTGATTTCTCCCAAAGACATCCAGTGAAGTGAAGTCTGTTGGGTTTTGTGGGAGGATTTAGAACTGTCAGAATTCCCAGATTCATGGACACATTTCTTGCACCTGTTTCTTCCACTGCTGCTTTTGCAGATGTTACGAACCATGCAACCATTAAGGCAGCTGCCACTTATGTTGAGGACCACCTGGAAGACACAGGGCTGAATCTGTTAATAAACAATGCTGGAGTTCTTGCAGAGGTGGCACTAGAAACTGTGGCTCCCCAAGACATGTTAAATGGATACAACAGCAACGTCGTAGGACCACTGTTGGTGAGCCAGGTACGGTTGTGTCGGGTGCTGGTTCTTGAGCTCAGAACAGCCAGATGGTTCCCTTTGTCAAATGCATGGAGTGTGTGAGGTGGTCACGAAATAGCAAACATGTATTGGCTGAGACCTTTCAAGGAAAGCTTAAAGGTGTGCAAAATAAACGCAGCAGCTCTTCACAGTGGCAGTAACTGGTAATAGCCCAACCATCATAGCAACTGAGCAAGTCAGAAGGGGCCTCGGGGGCCATCTAGTCTGAACCCTGGCTCCACCCGGCTCCACTGATGACATGACAAGCCCAGGAGTCCTCCAAACCGGTGCAGAGCCTCTTGGCAAGAGCTGCAAGAAATTATTGCTGCTCCAGCCGAGCAGCTGCTGAGCAAGCCATGCTGACAGCCACCCGCAGAGTGCCCAAGCAGCGCTTGGGGAAGCTGTGAGCAGCTTTGCCCTGCCCCGTGCTGCTGCTGGGCGATGCTGGAGGCACAGGGCAGTGGGCGCTGCGGTCGGCTCAGCTCGCTCATGGGCCGGCCACGCCCAGGCCTGGTCTGCAACTGATGCCCGTTCTGCTCGCAGGGGCACCACAGGGCAGAGACTTGCGGGCCAGAGGAGTTTATCGCAACTGCCCGCCTCGCACTGCAGCGGCCCAGCCCACAGTGAGGAGCCAAGTTGTGCTCTGCGCAGCCCACAGGCAGAGCATGGCTTGGTTGCCCCATCTGGCGCTGCTGAGCCCAGAGCGGGGGCCGCACCTGGCCCAGCTGAGGTTAAGTAGGCTGAGCAACACTGCCATGATTGGCGGCGGCCCCCACACCCTGCCCCGTGGCTGGCGTGGCTGGCCATGAGTTTGCACGTGGTGTCTGTGAAGCTGCTCCTTACAAGCGGGATTCCTAAGCCGTTTGCAGCAGCCTGGTTTACTACACCATGCAAATAAGGAAGGAGCAAAGCGAAATCAACGGTGTTCTGTGACCTTGCTTCAGGTGCTCACGTGAAGCCTTTTGCAACACACCCTCCCTCCCTCTCTCTCTCTCTCTCTCCTCTCCCTCTATTCCAGGCTTTCCTGCCTCTGTTAAGGAGGGCAGCCCAAGGAAGCATACAGAAAGGGCTAAGCTGTAGTAGAGCAGCCATTATCAACATCTCTACTGTCTTGGGCTCCATTGGGTTAGCCCCGCACACCTTTGTAAAGCACGTGATCTCCTACCGCTGCAGCAAGGTGGGTGCCATTTCGCTCAGGAAGTGTGGGAACTGTCTTGCTAGAGCTTATCTTGAAACAGATGGCCTTGGGAATTGCTTTTTGAAAACTCAGAGCACTTTGGCTATAGGTAATAGAGGCAGATGCTCCTGGTTTTCTTTTCTCAAATTATGGGAAAACTCTAGGCCACATCCCAATCTTTTTTGTATGATATTCTCTCTGTCTCTGTCTCTCATTCATTCACTTGCAAGTGCAGGTTAAATAGTGCAGGGATCTGGGATTTACTGCAGTTCCCCAAGTTTCCCCAAAACTTGGATGGCAAAGCCAAGTTTTCTTCTGTGTGATGATGGCCTGTGTCCCACAGTGTTGGCTGTTCCTTAGCAACAGAGAAGATGCCCTACTCCTTTTTCTCTCTTATCTCATTTGCTGCTCCTCTCACTCTGCCTCTCCTCCTCCCAGGCTGCCCTCAACATGCTGACCAAGTGCCAGTCTTTGGATTACAAGGAGGATGGGATTTTGTGTGCTGCAGTTCATCCAGGGTGGGTGAAGACAGACATGGGCACACAGCAGGTGAGCCTTGTTTCTGTGAGGCATTTCTTTAGAATGCGATAAAAAGTTGTTGGGGGTTGTGACACCCTCCCAAGAAGCTCTGAGGGCTACGCTATGCTCAGGAAGTGCTATTTTCAGTCCGGGGAGGGAGAAGCCCTCTACACTGTGATGGGAACCTTTTAAAGTTATGGCCCAAATACTCTTGGTAGTGGGAGGAGGCTGGGAACTGGAGACAGCAGGAGATGGGGACAAAGCCAAAAGTGGGCTTCTTATTCTAAAGAAAGTGCACACAGTCATGGGGGTGATAGGAGCACACAGATCCTTATTCTTTTGAGTGTGAAAATACGGATGTATGTGCTGCGGTGAGCAGCCGCTATGAGGCATGAAAAAGAGAGACCAGCAAACAGCAAGCACAAATTCAGAGGCTCAGCCATCAAGCATGGTAACGATGGCATTTTTCCAGGGGATGCTGTGATGTCAGCATACTGCATCCCATTAAATTGGATTTTTTTACCTTTTTACTTTTATCAAAACATTTACAGCTATATATTGCAGTGCAAAACTGCCAGTTGCCCTGTCAAAACTCCTTTAATGGAGACCCAGAACATCCACAGTTGTGCACATGCAGTTAAAAAATTTATTTGCAAAAACAAAACAAAACTGACAGCCCCTCCAAGTTGCACTTGGGCACTTTGAAGTTGCCGTCAGTAGCTGCCAAGTCGGGAATCACAATTTCGGGGAGGAAAGGGCCAAAATTCAAGGAAAACTCAGAGCTGAAAGCAACTTTTGCTCATGCCAGCCACCCCTGGGGGCTGCTGTTGCCGATCGACTTCACACAGAATATGACTGGTCTTCCAGGTTGAGATGCTGTGGCAACCCTCTGCGGATAAACCAACCCTATAGCAGTCCGTGGGTTCTCAGAGCGGCTTTTCTCGGGATACACGCTTCTGTGGGTAAACTGAGCTAGGCTCAGATGACAGAACAACCAGTCATAGCTCACCGCTGGGGGGCATGGTCGGTCTGTGCACCAGGTAGGTCTCTCTCACTTTCTAAGATCAAAAAGCCAACACAGGGCGTAGGTTGTACACTGCAGCACAGAGACCAGCAAATGGGCAGGGATAAGGCAGAGCTGGAGAGAAGCGGAGCTGTGGAGAAGGGAGTTGCATGTGGAAATGCACAGAGTGGGCCAGATGGGAAGCGATGGTCTTGGCCTGGAGGTGAGGAGTTCCTCAGCCATGCTCCAACTGTGTGTGGCCAGCTTTGGCAATGTGAGGATTGCTTTCTTCTAACCATAATCCAAGTGTATGTCGCCAGAAAAGCTGATCCCTTGATGAATGAAGTTTCGTAAGAAAAGTTGGCACCCCTTATCATGGAACCCTTATTAGCCAGCACGGCTGAGCCGTTCCATGCAAAACTCAGGGAGGCGTAGCGTTGGTCTGTGGACCTTGACAGCATCTCACGGCTTGAACATGCCATTGCATGGTAGATCACGGGTGGAGCTCCAAGCAGTCAGGCGCCAGGGTTTGACGGGAGCCAGCCAGTAAGTGGATGGGTCTAGATCTGGAGGGTACTCGGCTCAGGCAAGGGGTGTGTAAGCAGCCGCCCAGGATCGGAAGGGCCAAAAGCCGGGCCAGGGCAGCAGCGCAGGGGATGGCAGGCAGGCAGGCAGGCACTGAGCCAGGCAGGGTCTCCTCCGCAGCTCGCCTCCTTGGAGACTGACGGTTACACTCTGAGTCTGGGTTTTGATAAGCGTTGGCGGAACACAGTTGGGTGTTGGAATCAGCTGACCTGCAAGCCAGGTCAGACGGTGGAAGGCATGCAGTATTCCCGAAGGAGGCGGTGGTGCCCAGCAGACACAAGGGAAAGACATCCAGCCCTCCCTAGAGCGGCCCCCTGGCTGCTGCTCTCAGTTTTCCTGCTTTGCTTTTGCAGGCCGACCTGACTGTGGATGAGAGTGTGCGAGGGATCCTGAGCGTGCTGTCCCGGTTTGGTGATGAGCACAACGGTGCTTTTGTGAATTGGAAGGGAGAGACGATTCCTTGGTGAGGGTCTTCTGCGTCCATGGCAAGCTGCGAGACGAAGCTGCTGCCCAGGAAACCCTGAGAAGGCAGCTTTGCTCCCATGCCACAATCAGTGGGGTGGTTGCCCCATCTCACACGGCTAATAAACTCCCTCCCTTAGGAAACACTTGTTCTTTGTCCGCCTGGTGGCACTGACTGCTGAAACACAGGAGGTGAGGTCATGAGCCAATTAAAAGCAGATTTCTATCCTGCTTTTTTCTTATAATAAACTCAAAGCAGCTAATATCATTCTCCTGTTCTCAAGCTTATCCTCACAACAACAACCCTGTGAGGTAGATCAGGCTGAGAGAGTGACCCACCCAAAGTCACCCAGTTGGTTGCATGGTCAAGCAGGGACTAGAACCCAGGTTGCCTGTGTCCAAGTCCTGCACCTCTAACCACTACACCGCATTGGCGCTCTGAGTTGACTGAGCACCAGCACTAGGACTAAGCTTCACTCTGACAGCTGTGTCAGGAGCTGCCTGGCTAGAACTGGCACCCCATGGACTAGCATGCTGCTGCCCCAAAGAGTAAGTGACAAGTCAGGATGTTTCCTAGGTGGTACACTTCCTTTCATCTTTCCTTCCGTGGCCCCTGCTCTGCTCTGCTCTGCTCATGCCAGCTGCTCTTGGCTCCCTCTGACCTGGGAGGATTTTAACACTTGATCAGGCTGGCAGTTTGCTTGGCCAGTAGCGGTCTGGTCTTCATTGTGTCAGCAAGTTCCCAGCTGCCGCCTTTAGCTTGGCCTCCCTACGCTGTCCCATCTTGGCCAAAATGCCTGACCCCTTTTCACCCAGTAGCTTTTAGAAACATTAAATCTGCAAGGTCAAAAGCAAGATACAGTCTTGCATGGTGATCCCTGCTTTTTTATTTTTCAGTTTGCAGTTCTCATAATTCTGGGGACAACCCTGGAAAAAAACGCATGGATAATGTCTGGCAAAGACTGATGAGCAGTAGGAGTTTGAGAGATCAGAAGAATGTAGTTTTGAAAAGTGTATACTTCATATTTTTATCTGCTTTCCCTGTTCTTCTCCTTATGCCTGTCCTGTCTGTAATTTCTGGATCCAACTGTATTTAGGATATTTTGTTTACCTTCCAAAATGAGTTTTACAAATTAATTGGAGAGGAGAACAGGACAATTCATCTGTGGATTCCTTAAACTGATCAGTAATTTCACATTTAAGCTAACAGACTACTCTTATGGTCCTTGTGCATTGTGCATGGCCTGGAGGTTTTTGCAGGATTCTCATACCCAAGGCTGGAGACTGTTCCATCCCCATTGCTGAGGATTGGTGCTGCAACCCATCCCTCACCACTAGCACGGAAAGAACAGAGAAACACAGAAACAGCGCGAGTCAGAAGGGGTCTCCCAGGCCATCTAGTCTGACCTCCAGCACCAGCCGGCTCCGCTCACGACATGCCCACCATGTGGACGTCCAGCCTATCCTTGAACACCCGCACCGATGGGGCCTCAACGACCTCTCGTGGAAGCCCATTCCACACCCTCAGGGTCCTGACTGTCAGGAAGTGCTTTCTGGCATCCAAATGGAACCTTGGCTCCCTGAGCTTTGCTCCGTTGGAGCGCGTCCTGCCTTCCTCTGCAGGGGAGAACAGGTCTCTACCCATCTCCGTGTGACATCCCCTCACATACCTGTATGTCGCCAACATATCCCCTCTGAGTCTCCTCTTCTCCAGGCTGAAGAGACCCAGTTCCCTCAGTCTCGCCTCATACCCCATCCCCTGCAAACCGGCCACCAACCTTGTGGCCCTACGCTGCACTGACTCCAACCTGGCTATATCCTTTCTGTAATGAGGGGCCCAAAACTGAACACAATACTCCAGTTGCGGGCGCACCAGAGTCATGTAGAGTGGTAGTAATACCGCTCTTGATCTAGAAGCCACACTTCTGGCTATGCAACCAAGGGTGGCATTCGCCCTCTTGACCACCGCATCACACTGCTGACTCATGTTTAGCCTGCAGTCAACCAGTACCCCGAGGTCCCTTTCACAAGTGCTGCTCTCCAGCCACTTGTCACCTAACCTGTACTTATGACAGCTATTCCTATGCCCCAAGTGCAAGACCTTGCACTTATCCACATTGAACGCCATCCTGTTGTCTTCTGCCCACTTCCATAGTCTGTCCAGATCCTTTTGGATCTGGAGTCCCTGCTCCTCAGTTGTGGCCACTGCTCCAGTTTTAGTGTCATCTGTGAATTTGATCAGCAGACTGTTCACCCCTTCTTCCATGTCGTTAATGAAAAGATTAAACAGGATCGGCCCCAGGACAGAGCCCTGGGGGACCTCGCTTGCCACTGGCCGCCATCCCGATGATTCCCCGCTAATGGTTACCTTCTGCTTTCGGTCAGTCAACCATGCTCTAATCCACTGGACAGTGCTTTGGTGTATCCCAAAACTCCTCAGTTTCTCCACCAGGATATCATGGGGCACTTTGTCAAAGGCATTGCTGAAATCCAGGTATACCACATCCACTGCATCCCCTCCATCCAGCCATCTCGCAACCTTGTCATAGAATTCCACAAGGTTTGTCTGGCAGGACCTGTTTTTGCGGAAGCCGTGTTGTGTGGCTGTCAGCCTCCCTTCCCTATCTAGCATCACGAGATCTCTCTCTATTATGAGCCTTTCCATTGTTTTTCCTACAATGGATGTAAGGCTAACCGGTCTATAATTCCCCTGTCCTTTCTACTATTTTTGAAAATTGGGACCACTGATGCCACCCTCCAATCCTCTGGAACTTCACCCGTTCTCCACGAGGTCTCAAAAATGGAGGCCAGCAAGCATGAGAGAACCCCTGCCAACTCTCTAAGTACTCTCGGGTGTAACCCATCAGGGCCTGGTGCCTTTGTAATGTTCAATGCCCTGAGGAGCCCCTCGACTTCAAGGGGGGTGACTCTAATCTGTGCGCCTAAGTCCCCAGCCTCATCTAATCTCCTATGAGGATATCCCCCGTCCTGCTCTGGGGAGAACACAGAGGCAAAATAGTCATTTAGCATCTGTGCCTGTTCCCTCATCAGTCACTGGATCTCCTTCCTCCTTATTTAGTGGTCCCACCACATCAAGTGCTCTGCAAAGTCAGGAAAGTAACCCTGGAGAAGGCTTGCATGGCATGTTAATACCAATACTGGTTGCATGCCAAGCACTAGAAGGACGAGCTCGCAGACCATGGGATGCGCGCGCGCGCGCACACACACACACACACACACACACACACTGCCCTTGTGGGTTTTTGCCCATAGGGAACAAACATGGTCATGTGACGGACAGCAATAGTTAAGGCCATCAGGAGCAATCGGGCAATTACATGCCTGAGAAAGGGAACCTTCCTCTTCCCATAGAAGTCCAAGGAAAAGAGTATAAGGTCCAGGGACTTAAAAACAGAAGTGGGCAACGCTGAGTGCAGAGCTGGCACCCATCCTGGAACATGGATCGCTTACATCCTTCTGACCCATGCAAAGGACTGTGGTCCAGAGCTCACTGCAGGTCGGCCTTGAACTCGCTCCCTCTGTACCATCTCTCTGTCTAAAAGTCTATTAGGCAAGAAGCTCTTTACCTCTTCGGAAATACAGAGGATGCAACAGCGCTATTTGCTGCCTAGATAACACTGGGTTACGGTTTGTACTTGTTCTACGTTTTCTTCTGAACAAACTTGCCTTTGCTTTCTAAGCATTTTATGTCTGTGCCAGTGTAAGGCCAGGACCCATTCCCTTCTGGCAGCGTGCATTCAACCCCAGCCAGAGATCTCAGACCTGTCAAGGTATCTGGTGGGCAAGTTCCTCCTTCAGAGGACTTTGTTCCCTGAGATTCCTTCGTGATCTGGGAGGGTGGGAAGGAGAAGAGACTGGGAAGATTCGGATTCAGGCTTCCCCCCTCTGAAATGCTGACCCCAAATGGCTGGAAATGGCCATCTGGTGAAGATACAGAGCAGGAGGAGCAGTGAGGAAAAGGTCTTCGCTTTGCCTTGGATGAGTGGGAGCCCCCAAGTTCAGAAACGTGTGCCCATCTCTGTAAGGTTGCATCCCAAAGCTTGCAGCCAGTGGTACCAGAGGCAGAAGTGCTCAGTTGCCCAAGCGCTAAACTCTGGGGTAGCATTAAGATCTGCCGCTTCGAGAAGTTTTACCTGTGGGCTGGCATGGCACCCATGGGCTGGAAGCAGAACTAGTTTCCCCTCCCCAGATCATGGAAAGCATCTCAGTGACATTGGAGCAAGCTGGAAGCGAGCAAAAGAAAAGCTTGCAGGCTGCGCCCACTCTGAAGACTCTGTGCAGCTTCCCCTTCATTCCTTAACGGATTCTCTGCTGTAAGAAAAAAGCTGCAAAAAGTGTTTGGAAAGCATAGAAGAGTTACAGGTGGGAATTCATGTCTGGATCCGGAAAAATTCTGTGAGTGAGACAGCAAATGGCTTGGTCAAAGCGGCTTCTGGGCGCCCCCGAGGCATGGCTGACAACTTGTGCAAAGCGTTAAGGTGCAATACACACATTTACCACCTGGTGGCATCAAAATATATAATTTCCTTAAATCCCCAAAAGAGGATTCCCTTCAATGATTCAAGCAGTTCCCTGAAAATTATGATGGCAGAGTTTTCCCAGGTGGAGTTTCCTGCCTTCCAGCTAACTGGAGGAAGGAATCTAGTTTTGACAACATCTGGATTTGAAGTGGTATCCTATTGAAAAGAAGTAGTAATTTCCAGTCGGTGTGAGCTTAAGTGGAGTCCGGGATTGGGGAAGGGGGGAGGGCAGGAAGGCCTGGAGGAATGTTGTCCATGGGGGTCACGATGGGTCGGCCGCGACTTCGCAACTAGCAACCAAGTGATTTCCGAAGAGTTCATTGCTCCAGCATTCCCCAACGCAGCATCCATGGAGGCCTGCCAGAGCACCCATAAGGTTACAGTTCTCCCCTTTCATGATGGCCTGTGCAGTGGTGGGTGTTTCTATTCTTTACGTTTTAATAGGGCAGCTCAGTGTGCAGAAAAGTGCCAGCAGGGCCTCCAGCTTTTCCCCAAGATTTTGCTTTGCGGCCGGTCTGGCCTTTCTGTGAGTGGATGAGAAAAAGAAACCTCTTTCCCCTACCATTGACTGATAAATGTGGGGTGAGGAGGGAAGCGGGGAAA